GGCGTGGTGGCGGGCGCCTGTAGTCCCAGCTACTTGGGAGGCTGAGGCAGGAGAATGGCGTGAACCCGGGAGGCAGAGCTTGCGGTGAGTCAAGATCGTGCCACTGCCCTCCAGCTTGGGCGACAGAGTCTCCATCTCAAACAAACAAAAAAGCCATATGAAAAGCATCATTTTAATGGTTGAACAATAGTCCATCCTGTTGATGTTTTATTTTATGGAATCATTCCTCAATTGTTGTACATTTAACTAACTCCAGGATCCCCTTCCTCCCATTATTTGCAGTGCTTTGGAGAAATCATTGGAGTGTAATTTATTTTCTAAGTTTTAGAAGTGGCATTCCTGGGTCAAAAGGTCTGATGTGACTAAAAGGCCTTATTGTGTCTTAGAAAGGTAACTTATTGAGCAGAACAAACCAGAATAAGGAAATATGATTCGAAAATTTGCTCTAGGCAGGAACATTCCAGGGTCTGAATAAATTACTCTCCACTCTTCCATTAGAGTGCTTTTCCTGTTGGCTAACTAGAGCTTTGTTGAATGTATGCTTCTGGAAAAAGAGTAAAATTACACTATATTACTCAAATTAAATCTTTATTTTTTTTTCTTAGAGAACAGTAAATCAAATTTTTTTTCTTCATTTTGTTTTTATTATAGCAAAATGAAGGGAAAAATTTTCCTTCATAAAATGAAGTTTATTTCTGTTTGCTTAATTTACAACAAGCAGAAAATAAGCTGGGTCTTGCTTTGATCCAAATATTGATTTTTTTTTTTTTTTCAAATATTGATGTTTTAAAAGCGGTACACAATATTTGTTAAAGAGAACTATGAAATGCCTTTTTAGAAGCTTCTATAAGAAAAGTAGAAAGTTTAGCCCTACAGCTTTCCTCTCCGCTAGAACTGCAAACTACTGCTACAGTTTTAAATACACTTTTTGTTGTTTATATATCCAGGAAAGTCTTAAAAAAGTAAAGAAACATGCATATAAATGATTGCATAGCAGAACAGAACATGAACTGCAAACACTAGAGAAATGAAAGAAATACTATCAAATATATAAAGGTCCTACAATCAACCCCTTAAGCACTTCCCACAAATAGTATTTAAAAACCATCGTTTTGTTCTCAGTCTAATGCTCTCCCAATAGAGTTATCTCAGCTTACTGCCATTGTTTTGTTCTCTACAGACAAAGCCTAGGTTACTAAAAACAATTGAAATAAGTAATCCTCTTAAAGGAGTTGCTTCTCCATAATTCTTACTTATATCTGTAAGCAAGCAATCTGAGATTTTAAAAGATGCTAGCTTTTTATCCAGAATGAGATTGGATATGTCAAGTCAGTTTTGTCCCCAAAACAATCTTTCAGAGAAATACTAGAAATTGTAAATGGTAAAGGGTATTATTTCTTTATTTTTAGTCAAGTACTACACTGGTAGTCAAAAATTCAAAAGATGTGACTCTTTCTTAAAACTGACTAATCTTTTTTTCCAAAATCATTTTAAATTTCATGGCACTACAGAATCACCTAGAATGAGCGTGCTGTTTTTGAACTTGCCTCATGTTAAATAAACTGAGGTGTGAAATGCAAGCCTCCTACATAAAGAAACAGGCAAATTTTGATGCAAATATATAGGCCAAATGCTGTAAGCGTCAACATTTCAGTTCTTTT